TTTTCAGCATCTATGGAGCTGATCATGTGGTTTTTGTCCTTTTTTTTGATGTAGTGGATTTTTGAATGTTGTACCATCCTTGAATCCCTGGGATGGATCCCACTTGATCATGGTGCATGATCCTCTTGATGTATTTTTGAATTCGGTTTGTAATATTCTTGTAAATATTTTTGCATCTGTGTTCATCAGGGATATTGGTCTGTAATTCTGTCGTGTCTTTGCCTGGTTTTGGTAGAGTGATGCTGGCTTCATAGAATGAGTTTATAAGTATTCCCTCCTATTCTAATTTTTGGAAAACTTTAAGGAGATTGGATATTATGTCTTCTCTGTATGTCTGATAAAATTCAGCAGTGAATCCATCTGGCTTGCGGTTTTTGTTCTTGGGTAGTTTTTTGATTACCAATTCAATTTCATTCCTGGTAATTGGTTTGGTTAGATTTTCTGTTTCATCCTTGGTCTGTCTTGAAGGTTATATTTTTCTAGGAAGTAGTCCATTTCTTCTCAGTTATCCAGTTTGTTAGCATATAGGTTTTCATTGTATTCTCTAATAATTCTTTGTAATTCTATGCGGTCTGTTGTGATTTTTCCTTTCTCATTTCTGATTCTGTTGATGTGTGTAGATTCTCTTTTTCTCTTAATAAGTCTGGCTAGGGGCTTATCTATTTTGTTAATTTTCTCAAAGAACCAGCTCTAGGTTTCATTGATTTTTTTCTATTGTTTTATTCTTCTCAATTTTATTTCTTCTCTGATCTTTATTATGTCTCTCCTTCTGCTGACTTTGGGCCTCTTTTGTTCTTCTTTTTCATGTTTCAATAATTATGAGTTTAAACTTTTCATTTGGGATTGTTCTTCCTTTTTTAAATAGGCCTGGATTGCTATATACTTTCCTCTTAGAAATGTGTTTGCTGCATCCCACAGAAGTTGGGACTTTGTGCTGTTGTCATTTGTCTCCATATATTGCTTGATGTCTGTTTTAATTTGGTAATTGATCTATTGGTTATTTAGGAGTATGTTGTTAAGCCTCCATGTGTTTCTGAGCCTTTTTGTTTTCTTTGTATAATTTAGTTCTAGTGTTATAGCTTTGTGATCTTAGAAGTTGGTTGGTAGAATTTCAATGTTTTTGAATTTACTGAGGCTATTTTTGTGGTCTCGTATTGGTCTGTTCTAGAAAATGTTCCATGTGCACTTGAGAAGAATGTGTATCCTGCTGCTTTTGGCTGTAGTGTTCTGTAGATGTCTGTTAGGTCCATCTGTTCTAGTGTGTTGTTCTGTGCCTCTGTGTCCTTACGTATTTTCTGTGTGGTTGACCTATCCTTTGGAGTGAGTGGTGTGTTAAAGTCTCCTAAAATGAATGCATTGCATTCTATTTCCTCCTTTATTTTTGTTAGTATTTGTCTCACCTATGTCGGTGGTCCTGTGTTGGGTGCATATATATTTATAATGGTTATATCCTCCTGTTGGATGGCCCCTTTTATCATTATGTAATGTCCTTCTTTAGCTCTTGTTCCTTTCTTTGTTTTGAAGTCTATTTTTTCTGATACAAGTTCTGTAACACCTGCCTTTTTCTCCCTATTGTTTACATGAAGTATGTTTTTCCATCCCTTCACTTTTAGTCTATGTATGTCTTTGGGTTTGAGGGGAGTCTTTTATAAGCAGCATATAGATGGGCCTTGCTTTTTTATCCATTCTGTCACTCTGCATCTGGTGAATTCTGTCCATTTACATTTAGGGTGATTATCAAAAGATAAGTACTTACTGCCATTGCAGGCTTTGGATTAGACATCACCCACGGTTCAAGGGTAGCTTCTTTCCTATCTAATTCTCAAACTTAACTCTCCTATTAAGCTGTCATAAACATAGTGTGATGATTCTTATTTCTCTCCGTTCTTATTCCTCCTCCTCCATTCTTTATGTGTTAGGTGTTTTATTCTGAACAGTTTTGTGTTTTCTTTGACTTCTTCTGTGGATAATTGATTTTAATTTTTGCCTTTAGTTAGTATTTGGTTGGTCTGCTTTCTTTCCTGTGATTTTATTTTCTCTGATGACATCTATTTAGCCTTAGGAGTGCTTCCATCTAGAGTAGACCCTTTAAAATATCATGCAGAGGTGGTTTGTGGGAGGCAATTCCCTCAACTTTTGCTTGTCTGGAAATTCTTTAATCCGTTTTTCAAATTTAAATGATAATTGTGCTGGATACTGTATTCTTGGTTCCAGGCCTTTTTGTTTCATTGCATTAAATATATCATGCCATTCTCTTCTGGCCTGTAAGGTTTCTATTGAGAAGTCTGATGATAGCCTGATAGGTTTTCCTTTGTAGGTGGTGTTTTCTCTCTCTCTCAGGCTGAATTTAATACTCTGTCCTAGTCTTTGATCTTTGTCATTTTAATTATTATATGTCTTGTTGTTGCCTTCCTTGGGTCCCTTGTGTTGGGAGATCTGTGGGCTTCCATGGTCTGAGAGTCTATTTCCTTCCCAAGCTTGGGGAAGTTTTCAGCAATTATTTCTTCAAAAACACAGTCTATCCCTTTTTCTGTCTCCTCCTCTTCTGGTACCCCTATAGTGTGAACACTGTTCCATTTGGATTGGTCCCAGAGTTCTCTTAACATTCTTTCATTCCTAGAGATCCTTTTATCTGTCTGCCTCATCTTCTCTGTATTCCTGTTCTCTGATTTCTATTCCATTAACAGTCTCTTGCACCTCATCCAGTCTGCTCCTAAGACCTTCTATTGATTGTTTCATTTCTGTTATCTCCCTCTGGGCTTCATCCCTTAGTTCTTGCATATTTCTCTGCAGGTCCATCATCATGGTTATGAGTTTTAGTTTCAATTCTTTCAGGAAGATTGGTTGTATCTATCTCACCCGGCCCTCTCTCTGGGGTTGTCTGAGTGATATTTGAGTGGACCATATTTTCTTCATTTTTATGGTAATAGAAGTGGTCGTTGACAGGTGGTGCATGTGTCAGCTAGGAAAGTAAAGTCCCTTCTTGCTTGCTGGTCACGTTACACTTTTCTGCTGCCTGTCTCGGTATTCACACACTGGGTGCAGTCTCTTGGATTATCTCCTGAGCTGCTGTGTGCAGGGTGTCCCTCAGTATAGCCTAGGGTACTGCAGGGGGTCACAGATGCTCTGGATGTGTTCTTCTGTTGGAACGGCACCCCTTCATGCCTTCCAGACTTTGCCCTGCCTTCCTCTCTCTGTGCCGGGCAGCTGTGTGCCTGCAGCAGCTTCTGAGTCTGTCCCAGTTAGCTGCACTGGGAGAAGACTCTGTGTGTTTGCTGTGGGTGGGGCTGTTCTCTGGCTGTACCGCAGCTGGTTTTCTTGCAGTGCTGGCTGAGGGGAGTGAATGGCAGGATGCTTATCCTTGTGAGGGCTTCAGGGTTGTGTTACCCCACAGTGGTTTAAAGTATCTGAAATTCCTTAGGATTAGCTGCCTGCTGGGCTGAGTGTGCTGGTACGATTTTGTCCAGCTGTTAAGCCCTTGTTCCTTCAAGACTTTTAAAGCACCTGCTTTTGTTTTGTCTCAGGGGAGCCAGCTGTGGGGACCCACTGGCAGTCTCCCTATCGGATTTTACTTTTCCGTTTCTCTTGTATCCAGTACACCATGAAATGTGGTTCTATGCTCCCAATGCAGATTTCTAGGACTGGTTATTTAGTAGTCCTGTGCTTCCATTCCCTCTGCACTCTGATTTCTTTCCTCCTGTTGGTGAGCTGAGTTTGGGGGAGTGCTCAGTTCCCGCCATGTCTTGGCTTTGTATCTTAGCCTTTTCGTGACATGCTGTGTTCTCACAGATGTAGATGGAGGCAGGCTGTTAATCTGTGTCTTCTGGTATTTTAGGCATAGTTTTATTTGTTGTGTTTTAAAAAATATATATGGTTTTGGGAGGAGATTTCTGCCACCGCTGTCAGATTTTTTTGTTTTCATGGCGATCCACCCTACTCACGCCACCATTTTGAGCCGTTCTCCTATCAGATACTTTCTCAAGTTGCCAGATACTGTACTGCTCACACAGGTACATTATTCCATTTCTCATTATCCTGTTAAGATGAATATATTCCTACAACTTCTGCTTTTGTTCCTCCATGCCAAACGTTAAGCATCTAAAAACAACAATACTTTATATTTTTGTGTCTTAGATGCTCATAGGAATCCCAGGACACAGAATGTGCTTACTAACTGTCCAATTAATTAAAAAAAATGTTTGAACAGTTTATTTTATGTTTCTGTATCATTGCTGGATCCTGTCATGCAAACCTTAAAACCTTTTATCATGAGAATACAGCTGCGTGTACATACATTGACTATGACACGTGGAACCCGAAAGGTGCATGTCAACAGCACACACATATTGGGAGGAGAATTGAGGCTCTGTCAAATCTTCTGAAGCTTATTACTAATTTTTACACACATGAACAATCCAGGCACAAACCCTGACCTTTTCCAAGGCACATTACAAAAGGTACCTCATTTACAAGAGAAGGAGACAGAGACAGAGACATAGAGACAAAGACAATGATGCAGTTGAAGCCTGAGAGGAAAAGAGCTGATTACTGACTAGGAGCATCCTCCCATCATTCAGGACAGAAGCTTCACTCCTGTGCCCTTGTCTCCAATATGGTCCCTTCTCTGGAAATAGGAATAAGAACACATCACATAACACAATGCACAAAATATCCACAGTTGTATTTTCAAGAATAAAAACCATGACCTATTAACAGCTGCATTTTCAAGAACATAAATTTATTCCCTTAGAACCTGCTCCCAGGACTCTTAGTACTTTGCACAAAAGACAATCTGTATGGAAAGATAGGAGCAAGGGACAAGGAGATTCTGAATGGACAGTGAGAGAAAAAGACACTTCCAGTGAAACTAATTTTATTAACGAGGGCACGATATCCATTTTTCACAGTTTAGATGATACCTAATTGAAGTAAACTTCAGGCCATTCACCTTTAATGGCTTCAGAGCCACCTTCCATTAGGAATGCAGAGATCCAGTGTCCTTACCACCCTTTCCTCAGTAACCTCTGGATGCCTTGCTTGATCTCCTGGGTGCGCACTCCATAAACAATGGGGTTGAGGGCAGCAGGGATGACGTGGTGGAGGACATTGAGCAGGACCGGCACCTCAGCAGAGACCTTTTTCTTGGCCACATGCGTGAGGACGAAGACCAGCAGGACGGTGCTGAAGAAGAGGATGAGGATGAAGTGGGAGCCACACGTGCTCAGGGCCTTGGCCACAGCTCCCTCTGCCTTGAGTCTAAGCACAGCTCTAAGGATGAGGGTGTAGGAGAGGAAGATGAGGATGAGGTCAGATCCTAGCAGTGTCCAGCCTCCAGCAAACTGGTAGATGCGATTGATGGTGACATCATCACAGGAGAGCCTGGACACTGACATATTGGCGCAGATGCAGTTCTCAATGACGTTTCTCCTGCAATAGTGGAGCCGTGCCGAGAGAATGGGAACAGGCATTGTAAGAAGGACATTCCTGGCCAAAATAAAAATGACAGCCTTGGCCACAAATTGCTCATTGATGATGGACAGGTACCTCAGTGGGTGGCAGATGGCCACATAGCGGTCATAGGCCATGACCATGAATGTACAGGACTCCATGGCAAAGAAGCAGTTCATGATGTACATCTGCAGGAAGCAGGTGGAGAAGCTGATGGACCTGAGGTCAAACCAGAAGATGGCCAAGACCTTGGGGATGACAGTGAGGCAGAGCACCACGTCCAGCAGGGAGAGGAGGCTGAGCAGGTAGTACATGGGCTGGTGCAGAGAGGCTTCTCTGCAGATGGTGATGAGGAGAATAGTGTTGGTCCCCATGGCCAGGACGTAGAGGAGGGTGAGGGGCAGGGACAGCCCATGCTGCCAACTGGGATACCTGACAAAACAATTCAGGAGGAATTCTGAAACCTCACTGGAGCCATTTCTGTGTGGTGTCATCTTGGATATGTTGTTTCTGCAGATTTCCTTTGATGGTCTACAAAGTTAGGATCAAAATTAGCCTCTGCTGTACTTACAGTAGGAGAAAAAGTCAACGTGACAGTGTGTAACTTACGGCTGTAGCAGGTGATTTTGTTTTCCTTGGAGATTTTGTGCACTAATAAACTGAAGATAAATTACTTTAAATATTTTGGAAGTGTTATTTTTCTTCATTTCTCAAATTATGTAAATTCCTGATTTTAACATATTTGTATTGTAGAATTGGTCATTTCAGTAAGCTACCAGGCAAAGTCCTTTCCTTTGAAGATTGTGATCCTCCTTTTTGAGCAGCTGGAGGTGGGGAAGTTAGTCTTCAGTGATTCCTCTGTGAATCCCTTGCCCAGTTGCCCACAGAATGGCCCCAACACATGTGGCAGGTACCATCTGTGTTGTCAGTCCTTCCTTCTTATTTACCTTTTATTTACCCTTTATATGCTGTGGTCCCAAGGTTAAGGTATGTCTTTTTTCTCAAGGAAGTGATAATCCTTGGCAGGTGGGAATTAGCTAGATAATTATGAGACTGAACGATAAGAACCGAAATAGGGCATTTGGGCAGAGTGTAGGGCAGGATGAAGTTCTTTCACATGAACATGAAGTATTCCCTGTGCTCCCCTGCTGCTGAATTTAAAAGGGAAGACCAAGGAAGGCTGTGAAAGTCCTTGGTCCTCCTGCAGTGAGAGGTGCCTGCAAATATTTGTGGCCAGCATTTCTAATCTTTAAAACCATGCTGTGTATGGCCTGTGGATCTGCCTGCTTTGTACAGATGTTCTGCTCAGGTGTCATTCCAAGAGTGTAAATTGGAGTTTTTCATCAGTATTTGAACCATACTCTTGTCTGTGTGTTTATCTATGTCGTTAAAATCATTGGAGGTGTTGTTTTATGCATTTAAAAATAAGGAAATGACATAAAAAAGTGTGAGAAAAGTCCAAGACCACACAGAGGAAAATTTTGTCTGGAGGCAAAATTCTATTTGATTTTAACCACATCCCTAGTTGCCTTGGTGTCCATGTCTAATCAACTAAGAAGCGATGGCTGCACAGTCTTAGGACCCCTCTGAGCCCCCTGTGCCATGATGCTGTATTTGGTTCCTTATCTGAGAAAAGAAGTTTACCCCGCTAGAGTAACAAAAACTTTTGCAAGTTGAATACGGTAGTATAGCGGTATGTTGAAGTGGGGGCTGAATAGTTAGGAAAGGATTTTCCACAGAAGTATGAACCCAGAACTCAAGTGTTTTCCAAGCATCACAATCTAGTTTTGGTGTAACCGTTAAAGTGACTTATTCGCTTCCATGTATGATGTCCTTGCTCCCTCACTTCCAGTCCCATTCACTGGTTTTTTCTTAGACCTCAACCTTCTTCCACATGGCCTGTGAATTGCTGGGTCGGGTAAAGAGAGTGGGCATTACCCTCCCCAACCCGGAAGCCTTCTCTTCCTACCTTTTGCTGCTGTGGGGGAGTCTAAGTATGTCCACCAGAAACCATCAGTCTCTCTGGAGTAAAAATCATTTAAAACATGTCAGGAGTTTACATTACCTTCCTGTCGTCTCCTTGCTATGATGGTATGGAGATGTTAATAGTGCCTCGGTGAACTGCCAAGTGGCTTTAAAGTTTGTTGCATTTGTGCCAATGAGACCCAGTGGACAAGGCAGAGCTGCTGTTCGGCCAGGTGCCTTTGCCCGGCACATGCAACTTGCAGTGACACTGCTTCCCTGTGTCAGGATGTGCGAATCTGCACTTCACTTTGTATTTCAGCTCCTCCTCTGCTCACACTTTTAAGTCGGCTCATCATAGCATGTTTATTCTTTGCACAAAGTCAAATCTCCCTGTAGTGAAGCTGTATTAAGGACCCTGCTTGATATCTGGAGGATGTGGCCACATGGAAGCTCCTCTTCAGGGAGAGACTCCATAAGGAAACCTGAAAGAAGCAGAATATATTTTTATTGTTTTTGGTTGTCTTGGAAAGATTATTTCGAGCATTATGATAGAGTTTGTAAAGAGCACTGGAAAGAATTTTTCTATATTATTTTCCTTTCTTTCATTTCTCTCCTTTTTCCTCTTTTTAGCTGCAACCAAAAATTTATTCAACAAAAAATCTACACAATGTTAAGGCTAAAGTACTTGGATGTAAGTAACCCTTTTCTTTTTGTATGAATTCTGTCTTCCTTTGTATCCAGTTCCTTGCAATAACCTATGTATCGCACGGGTGAGATAGAGGCCCAAATGTAAGTATTTCTTGCCCCCAACAGGGACAGGCTGAGAAGCCAGACAGGTCCTAGGCTCCAGGATGGAGCTGTGACAGCACGCTGTATGAACAGATTTTGAAATATGGAGGTGATGTAAAGGATCCTCCAGCCGTGTGGTATTTGGATAAACCTGTGAAATATTCCCAGTAGTCCAGTCTATCCTTCAAACTTATGAACTGGATCCAGCAACAGAAAGGCTATTGGTTTTTCTTAGATGTCTTCCTAGTATGAGCTTTTCAGGTTTTAGATTTACTTTAGATGGAATTGAAACATATTATTCTGCCTCTCCTCACATCATGCACAGTTTTGTTTCTGATGTCTGTCCCTATGTGGAATAAGTTTATTTCTCTCTTGATGAATCAAACATATATGTGCAGATTTTCTTCTTTAGGGTTTCTTGATTTGGAGACGTTAGACCAAAACCACCCAATTCATGCTACTGGGCCTCTCTGTCAGCTCTCCCAAGATATTATTAAGTTTTGAAGGGCACGTGACATCTTAGGCACTTCGGTGGTACCTGACAACCCCAGAAGTGCTGAGCGCAGTTGGGAAGTGTTCTCTGCCACCCAGGGTGCATTCTCTATGCCCTGTATTGTGACACTTGGCATCCTGAGCTTGGGAAAGGACTGGGATGCACATTGGTCCTGAGGAGATTGGGCCCCCTGCCTTATGACCAACATTGGTGTCCTTGGCCCTCACATCCTGGCCAGATTCTCCCCTCAGACTCACCTTCCCACGATGTAGTAGCCTGAGTTCTGCCCTGGCTGATGTGGAGCCTGAGCAATATAGCTGAGAGCGTGGCAATTTCAATGGCCCTGGGGATACTGCCCTCAGGGAACCTGTTTCCTTGGGAGGGAGTTAGGAACCAAGAATAGCATGTTTATAAAGCCCTTGGGACAGAGAGGCATGTGGTGAGGGAGAAAGCTGTGTGTCAGGCTGATAAAAAGAACCTTTTCCAGCTCAGCGCCTTGAGGTGCTACATTGTCTACATGACCTGCAATCGGTCATTTCTCTGTACATCAGTATACACTTGTGCATTCACTCATTATGTACAGGCTTACTGTTATCCCCCTCCAAGTATGTAGTAAGTTTTTGTGAGATTGTGGCGCATGCTCATTGGAGAAAAGTGTTGTCCATCCATGGTGTTAAATGAGGAGTTGATCACTTATCATGACCTTCACCATGACATTATAATGATGAAAGTGAAATGAAGTGAATACTGTACTTTCTGAGAAATAGAATGGATATTCGAGAGAGGACACCTGTGTGAAGTGACTTTTGCCACAATGAAAAGTTTCAAAATCTAATTTAATTTTAAGATAACGCTTTGAAATGGAGTTTTCCTGTTTTTATTTTCCCTTTGTGCCTCTGTTTCCCTGAATTGAAGTACACAGTCTTCCCATTATGGCCTGCTGATATCATGACCTTGAATTCGCTCTGTGCTGTCATTTTTATTTCTTGATGCTAATAATGTAATCTTACTTAATTTTCGTTTCATCACTCAACTTCAGTGTCAATCTCTGTGCCCCACAAAAGAAACCTCATTTAATTAATATATATCTTTCCTAATTCACCTTCACTATGTTTACTTACCCATATGTTATCCATAAGTGTTTTTCTTAGTGTGAATGAATGTTAATTTTTACAGATTGCAGTACAAATCTCATCTTGGTCTTAATTTTCACTCAACCCACTCTACAATATCTACCCAGGGTACTGCTGATCTGGTAACTATGAGGAGTATTCTCTTGTATGTATGTATGTGTATGATTTTTTATTAACATAGGCAGCCTTTACATTGGGACATTCATATTAGTGCATTAGAAAGAATATTGTCATGACCATTTTTTTACAGCAGACATGTGAATGTTTTCCTATGGTACATGCCTTGGCTTAGGAATACTGCATCACAGATAGGAACACACTTTTTGCAAACTGGCCCAGATTTCTCTCTAGGATACCCATGTACTCCTATCCAAATTCATTTAAGTGTGTTGATTTATTTTCATTTTTTATTGATATAGTTTCAAGTGTACAGGAGAGTGGGTCAACAGTTACCCATATTTGGAAATATTTCCTCTCCCTAGTGCAGCTTCTATCTGTCAACATAGGATGAATTTACAAAATCACTGGCTGTTTTCTCCAAGCTGTATTACCATCCCTGTGACCAACCTCCATCATGATTGAGAAGTTTTATGCCTCTTCATCCTCCTCACCCTTCACACCCACCCAAATGTACCCCTCTGCCATGGTAACCACCTTCCCCTTCTCAGTGTCTTAGTTCATTCAGTTTTGCTTGGTATTGATATTCCACAAGTAAGCGAAAACATACGGTATTTTTTTTTCTGCGCCGGGCTTATTTCATTGTGCATAGAACGTTCTGGATCCAGCCATGTTGATTTCTTATATCCCCAACCGTCCTAGAGAATATGCAACTTTCTTTTTGACAGATATGATGGTTGGAAACAGTCTTCAGTGTTTTAATTTTTATTTTTGATTACTGAGATGTTTTCCAATCAACTGTATATTCCTTCTGTTTTTCCATTCTCTGAATTATCTCATGATTACTGTTTACACATTCTTGTCCTTTTTTCTCTGTGTGTAAACTGTGAAGTCTTGCCAACAACATGTGAGCTTTACCATTTTGTGGATGATGACTTCCTGTTTTGAAGATACTGGTTTCCTACTCATATACTTCATTGAATAATAAGTTATAACG